ATTTAAGAGCAGATTTCGGTGTAGAGGATCGAGTGTTGACCAAAACGATTATGCGTTTCTTGGTGAATAAGAAATTTTATCAGAATCCATTGTGAGTTTTCAAGTTTTGACAAACCTTCTCAAGAACTCATGCCACCGAAATGAGTAATCTTATGGAATCTATGCACGATTTACGTCAGGTGAAATGAATGTTGGTCAAATTCAGAATATAATCTTTGAAATGAATCAAAAACTTAATCAGCAACCATCTTCAGCTGGCAACATTACAAGTTTGCAAGCCTCTTCATGAACTTCGTGAGTAATACGCTTCTAAAATTGTTGCGTCTTCCATATCCCACTACTTTAGCAATCTCATTTCCGAAGCTATACTTATTGCAGGCATGGACATGCTGCCCAAGAATCATCATTATCATTTTTCCACCACTTCGTAGATGAACATGATGTTCGATTAGTCGTCAGAATGAGGCAGTTAAGAATAAACATTTCAGATATCCAGGTCTGAGCATAATCGCTCGACAACGTTCACATTTTTCTGAAATTATAGACTCTGGAGAATCAGATGGTCAGTTTGCTACTGGGCAGACCTGAAGATACCGTTAGCTTTAACAAGGTACTTCTGGTGTCCTTACTATAACGAATAAATTGATCAACATAAATGCAATGCATACTTCAATTACTGTGGCACACTTCAATTACTCATCTGTTTTACTGAAAATTCAGAAAATTCAGCTTGTTTCTCGAAATCCTGATGAAAACACCAAAAGAAAGGATGAACCTAAAAAGGCGCTTCGAAGGAATAAAAAGAAATGACAAATTCGGACTTGAATCAAGAAAAGGAAATGATAGAAGCAAAGGATTTGCTAGGATCATATCGTAAATACGTTATGGAAGGGCACTATAGAACAAAAACTTCATGATGAATACACGAGAAAGATTTCGAACTAATAATATACAGAAGATTTTACAGCGACCACATATGAAAGATTGTATTAGTTAGTATTATAAAAGAAAGTTTGTTAGTGTCGTATAATTGTGTTCAACATCTCTGCTCACATAATATTGAAGCTGAAGATGACGTTATAACACCGAAACGTCTTATGGTGTTTCTGTGTTTCCTGTGTATCAATTATTCATCTGTTTATTACCATTTACCTAACTTTGCTGTTATCCTACTGGTTATTCAAAATGCTTATCGCAACACACCTAATTTTTAAGCACTGTGGCGGAGTGTCACAAGAAAAACAGCATCTTTAGTTGCACCGTGAACGCAGGATGAATCATGCACCCTTTCCTATTGATAAGGTAGATGAGGGGCAGCTGAATTGTATTCCACAGAAGCACGTATCTTATATTAGACTTCATCCCCTGAAAGTCTGTTGTAATTCTGTAATATTTTCTTAGTTTTCGTGTTCTACTCACTTGGTCGTTTCCTCATTTTTTCCTTCTCTCAAAGTCTTAAAAGTTTATTCTTACAATTATCTCATTGTAATGTTCATAAATGCGCTCAACTAACTATAAATCAGGCACTAATTTGCGACTGAGATCACAGAATGATTTCAGTATGTGGAAACAAATAGAGTAACTGTTTAGAAATGGTTTCAATCAGTCGAAAAATAAATGTTTAGATTCGCTTCACTGAAGAAGACATCATTCAATGAATATTGTTAAACTAATTGAAATGTTGAATTTCGTGCCATAAATAAACGGTCATTAGCAGATAATTCGTATAGGAAAGATGCTTCGTGAATAAATGATACAAAAATGACGACTGAATCAGTGACATTTAGAGATGCAGTTGGTAATGTTGATGTGAGTTTCTTTCAATTTGTTTTTTGCCTTTTTTATTGTTCTTTAATCGCAACACAAATGCATTAGATATGCTTGAAATGACAAATGTACAAGACACAAAGCATTTAAGAAGTCATAAAGTTATCTTCAGTTTCGAAATATTCAAAATGATGATTAAACTCTTATTGAACTTATGAGTTAAATGGGCATGTTTCGTTAAAAACTTTACAGCGTTAATTTGCTGATGTTTTTCACACAGTTATTGCAGCTTCTGGATGATTTAGTGCTATGCGACAACCAGCCTTGTGTAGAGGCGCAGTCAATACCACTGCAGTGTCGTGTGTGTTTTAGCACCAATTTCGAGGATCGTAATGCGTATGTGACTGGCGTATCAAAGTATATCGAAGAAGCTACCCGGCACGCCGAATTTGTAATTATTTTTCGTATTATCCTTTTGTACATTCAAAAAATTTTCATCTGCCAATCAGTTTTGACATAATAAATTTGAGTGGACAGTCAATGGTATCAACATTCATGTATCAAAATTAGTTGCTGTCATATTCAATGAATCGAATCATCGTATTAATAATAAATTTCCTCATTTCATGTGTGGTGGTAAATGAGTTGACTGATATACTTGAACATTTTCATTATTGTTGAAGACAGCTATGTGCAAGTTCATGTGCAATGGCTGAATTTCTGTAGCAAGAATAAGATTATACAATTACCGATTCATTTTCGATTTTTTAGAATGATTTGCTGGCTGAAGGATTTCAACATGCTGCCCATTTGTATACTTGGCGATGCTGTTCTAGAGCAGTTCCAATGGTACGTGACGCAATCCAGTCGCGTTTCAGTGACTCTTGTGATATATCAGAACCTCTTATGATTAAACGTTAACCGTTTACTACTTAATTCGGTCATGTTGGATTTTCATGTTAACGTAGTTCTACATGATAGGAGTTACTTTCAGTTTATTACATCTAAATCTGTATTCAGGATTTCTTCCGGTGCATCCTTAGATTTCCAGTCTGATGGAAGTTGATACCAGAGCCAATGGCGAAAATAACTGATATAAAAAATCAAAGTAGATAGTTACACAAAATAAGAAACTCGAAATACACGTTAAATGTGGAAGGTTCTCAATAGCTGTGGCATTGCGTTAGTTATGGGAATGATTTTTTTAAAGGCAAAATCGAACGATCAACCGAATCGTGTTGAAATCAACGAGAAGGTTGTGGAAGTGCTGAATCCAGAAGTGGAAAAATTGCATCGTTTCATGCATTTTACGGTAACTTCATTTATTATTTATGTCGCATATCTAATTTCAGCAATAAAAGAATTTATGTATTAAAATAATCAAGAGAGATCTTATTGAAATGGGCTTCTCAAGCTGTTTCTTACTTTGCTTGGGTATCTGATTGACATTGTTTCGTTTGCGTTATATGATATAAATGAATCGAGATCATGTTGAAGAACCGCGCAATCAGCCGTTTTTGTGATGAGGTAAAACGATTGTGTCATCCAGAGAAACGGAAGGACTTTGTATCGGAAGCGTATTTGCTAACACTTGGTAAAACATTGAATATGTTCGCAGTCTTGGATGAACTGAAGAATATGAAGGCGTCGATAAAGAATGATTTTTCAACCTTCCGCAGGTATTCATCCAATTTCGTTTTTCATTGAGTGAATCAATTGCAGAAGCATGATTATACTCTTCAAAATCACCAATTTGAAAGCAGCATCTTTTCAAATGTTGCATTCATTATCATTCACGCTAAAAATTCAGGCAGTGCATTCTGTAAAATCAGTTGATTACCATTTTAAAATTCTCTTCCTCGTTCTTTTTCATATTCAGTGTAGTTTTAAATGTTATCTCTCTACTTCAATTTCATCATGAACGTTATTCATCTTAAGTGGCAAATTAGGGTTTAGTTATGATCGGTTGCGTGAATCGCTAAACGGTTGATTCTTGAACATAAATCTTTTTGTTTGCATCATTTTAAACAGTTGGTTATTGCAGGTCAGCACAGTTTTTGCAAGTGATGTCTGATACGCAAACGATTCACGAAATGCAAAACCTAAGTATGTTTTTGGCCACTCAGAACAAAATTAAAGATACACTCAAATCTGAGCTGCAGACGGTTAGTGATTGTTATGGAAGTTGCTCTATTAGTTCTATGGCTTTGATCGTTATGGAACTTTACTTATTATATTTGTTTTCGAAGTTCATTTCAACACATTGCATGTAACAGCTGCACCACTCGATGTTAGTACTGATTTGATTTGAACTTGGTTCTGTGTCGTTTGTATGGGTGAATATTCTATCAACCTTTGGATCGCTGTTGCTGAATTCAGTGTAACTTATGAAATTCTTAGATCGATGGGTATGAAGAGCTCTTGGCTGATGTGATCAATATATGCGCTCTGCTATTTGAAAATCATATGTATATTACACCCGCTGAAAGGCATATGTATGTTAAGGTAAGTTTCGTAGTAAAATCAAGCCAGTAAGAATTCACATACCAGTGGAATTTTGCGGAAGCATGTATCGTTGTTGTTGTACGGCAGCGAGTTTGGTTGTAAAGTCTAATTGTTAAATATTCTACCGGTTATGATAACCGTTCAAATGAAAAAAAATCGGAATTGTCACTCGTAGTGGACGATTTAAATTTCAGTTGTATTTAAAAAAAAGAAAAATAAGTAGAATGAGAAAAATTATTTGATCATTTAGGAGTGCACGTGTTTTGATATTAAAAAATCAGAATTTTTCGGTTGTCTGAAGATAATGTTAACATCGAGTCATTGATGAAAAAGCCCTCGACATATCCAATCCCGTTAGCAACATGTCCACATTGTCTTCCAGAGAATATTCGTTTCTATGAATATTTCACACATTTCTGTGATTTTTCGAATGCTTCTCATTCACCGTATTGTTACTTGGAAACGACGCTCCTAGTAAGTAATTAAATTATTCATTGAATCAAGGTTTTGGCATTTGGGTTATTTCTGATGGACGGTGATTGTGCTAACGTTGCGAAATTGGATCAACGGAAGAGGATAAGCATTGCGAAATTAGATAAAATATTCCAGGTAATTTAGTGTCGATTTGCACTTGTATCATTCCATATTTGTGTGTTCGCCTCATCAAAAATCTTTTGTTTTCCTTATTGGTTCCGATTCATCCAAATATTTCATCATAATTCAAATTTGGATTTCCAACCTCTGGTCATTGCCTTAGATTTGATTTAGCTTATCTATAGGCCCAAACAATCCTATTTTTTGCAGTTATTAGATTTTTTTTGCGTCTTCGTATTCGCATGTTTTCTAATAATTCTTTGATGTTGCAAAAACTTATCTTTGCAGTCACTGGAAGTAGTCCCTCTGTTTGGTGATATGCAAATTCAACCATTTTCCTTCGTTAAACGATCACCATTCTTCGATCCATCGAAATGGCCTGCCTCTAATACTGAAGGTATCACTTTTGGAATATTGTTTTCTCATCAGCACACCTTTAATTTCTATTCGTTTTTCGGATTGTTTGTAAACTAGTTGATAGTATCTCTTCAACAAGGTGCACTATGTAAAATTTTGGTATTTGTCAAGCGGTACAACCTTATGTGTTGGGGGCACGAAATTTCGCAGTTAAGAACGCCGAAAATGCGGTCGGCTCGAAAACAGTCGGGTACGGGGTCCCCGATCCGCGCAACTCAACTTAAGCATCAGTCAGAATTGTTCATTTCATGAAAAAGCTGAGTGAATGCATTTGAGAAAGCGAGCCGTATTCATTTTCAAGTAACTTGCAGTCGAATCTCTCACATTTTTACATTTAACCAATTATGAATCTATTCACTGTTAATAGTGCATTATTCAGTAATTTGATTTTCAGTTACATTATGTTTGAAAGCATTTGTTTGAATATTGAATTCTTGAATAATCTCACCGTTCGAACTCGCATAAAATCATTAAAATTTATTTAAATGCGTATATGCGCAGAAATTATTGAAAGGTTTTGTCTGAATGGACCATTTCGATACTTGATCATATTGCATTTCTTCTCCTCTCGCTCGCATTTAGTCATCTTTTTCAGGTGAGAAGTGTCACGTGAACATAGCAGAAAAGGTGCGAACAATCAGGGAACATCATACCGAATATGTTGCATATCTATCGCGTGTAAACAACGAGGTTGATTTCTCTTGTTTTTCAACATTCATATGTACATTTTTACATCACGAATCAACTGAACCTGAACCAGAATTTTGAAAACAAATCAGAAACCAAAAAAGATTTTCAGTGCGATACTTTTTTAAAACGATATTTTCATATCATTAACGGAATGAGGTTCAGCAAAAAAATGTCTGTATCATTGATAGAAGATAATGGTTAGTTCTGAAGGTGTTGCTGTATTGCTTGAGTTGTCTTCCAATATTTCAATATCGGTTTACCGTGATCCGAGCAACTGTGTACTCAGATTTGCTCTGCAATTCAACAATTCCAAGCTAAAAAATAGACTTGCATCAGTAATTATTTAACGTCTTTCAGTGGACGTTGAAATTATTGTAGCATTGTTTTGGAAGTGGCATCTATGAAGTTAATCTCTCTTGGCTACAGTTTGGTATTTTGGAATGACAATAAAATGTTCCATGCCTTCGGAAATACTGTCTTAAATACATACCCTTATTCAAAGAAATCTTAAACATATCCATTACGGTGTTGAATAATATGAATGAGTGCATCAAAATTCGTTTCTTTGATTCATTTTGAAGTTTTCAGCAATGAGTGGTTATTTCGAACTGATGTTGTTGGTTAAAAATGCGTCGTCATACGAACTTTTAAGGTGGCAGTTCATGATAAAGATGGACCACGTTCAGATGCAGAGAATCGCGAAATGACACAATTGGTATTGAGCGGTATTCAGCTGCTTTGTGGATGGACAAGTGACGTTGTGGAAACGGTTTCTTGGAAATTATTGCACCCTACTGATCATCGTGTCAATGAGGAATGTCCAGAGAGTGCTGAGGAGTATGAGCGTGCTACCAAATACAACTACTCGTCAGCCGAGAAGGCTGCTCTCATTGAGGTAGGCACGTTGGATTTATTTTCGTTTGTTCGGCACTGATTTCAACAGCAACTGATAACATTTATCGGTGTCCACATTCAATTATAATTCGTCTTGATGCTTGTTTTCTTTTTGTTAATTTGTGTAGTCTTTATTATTTTGAATCCGCTGCAAATTTTCAGGGAAATGCAGCGGTTCAATTAATAATGATATCGTCGTTTTCAAGTTTCATTCGCTATATATATTTTCAGACGATTTCAATGATAAAAGGTGTGCAGTTGATGCTAACAAAAATAGAAAGTGTATTAAGCATGGCCATCCGAAATCATATCCATGCTGAGCTCCAGGATTTTGTGCAACTGACGCTAAAAGAACCACTTCATAAAGCTCTTAAGAACAAGAAAGATGTTGTCTCAGGGTTCGTTTCTATTTCTAATGTTTGAATCAACTCTTTTATATTTATACTTTTTATTTCATCTTCTATGAAAACCCAAGGATGGATGCTTTCGCTTTATTTCATATTTTTTAATTGTCAGCTAATCAGGCTTCATTATTTCGGGAGTTTCTATTCGCATCCATGTATCGTAATGAAAAGGTGAAAATGTTCAACTTTCATGAATGTTGCTTCAAAGAATTTAAATTATGCAATGAATCATGATGAACGAACAACGAGTGATAGATAATCTTTTGTTGAAAATATACCACGCGAACAAACAGTAGTTGTATTGTTTATCATTGTTGAGTTTTACTGGCGTGATAATTTAAAAGTGGAGATGCGTCAGTTTAATTTAATTGACTGGATGTAAATTCAATTTTGACATGACGATGAAATAATTTTAAGATAGGTTCTTAGTCGGTTAAGGAAGGCATGAATGAAAGGCCTTTACTGTAAGTGCGATCTGATGAAACTTATTGTTCCCCTGAAAACACCTACATATGAAGTTTTCTTATTGGTTGATCGAATTTATGTGTCATCAATGAACGGTTCATATTCGTTACGTGATCTTTTGCATATTCAGCTTGTGCAAATAAAGAAATAGAATGCCATATTTTAATGAGTAGTTAATTATGTTATGTTATTATCATTCATAAATATAATGTTTCAGTATAATCCAGTCAATTTGTGATACTTGTGTCGATAATTGTGATAATCAGTTCGACTCGAGGTTATCTGATATTGCAAAATCGAAAAAGCAAAGACATTCTACTAGCGGGTCTGTCGGTGATATACGCATTTCACGTCGATCTGCTGCTCCCAGCACCACACAGGTCAGTTATCGTCCATTATTCTCAATTTGGACAATTCCTTCATCTTTTCCCGCAATCTAGTGATTGTTTTGATTTCATAAAAAATTTCTGAACTCTTGTTCAATGTGGTCTGTCGAGCACCTTTTGATACCATGTGTTGTGAAAATTTTGCGGAACTGATTGCTTATTTGTATTTAATTCGTTTGATGCTATCGATTTTTGCAATTTCTTTTTGTTCATTACTGACTTATGATTGCCATTGAGAATAATGGACGATAATACATCGTGTTCTGTGGGTTACAGCTTTATATGGCCAGAACAATGACTGAGTCGTTAATTTCTGAAAGAAGTGGGGGTGGAAGGCGAGTGTTACGAAAGGAAATTGAAGCGAAGCATGTTGAGCGAATGGCGAATTTCTTACGTATGAGTTATCATTGGCCTGCACTACTTTCCCTATCCGGTAAGTATTATTATCATTTTATTTCTTGAATTGCCGTGTTTGTGTTCTACTGTCAGGCTTACATTTTGCTATGTCACAAATTGTTTTTCTGTCTTGTCCGTCCATCTTCCTCGAGGATTTCCGAATGATCTTTTCCGTCCTCTGGGGTAACACTCAACAACTGCATGAGTCCATCTGTTATCACTTGTTCTTGCTATCTAACCTGCCGAACGTAGAATCTGCTTTTGGCATTTATTGATCATAACCCAACTCCGCTCCTCCAACGAATCTGTTCGCATCGGATCTCCTTCTGCAACGATATACTTTTCTAATCTTGCGCATGCTATATTTTCAGAAACACTTAGCGAATGTTGCGAGCTCTCACAGCTTTGGTTCCGAGAGTTTTATTTGGAGATGACAATGGGTCGTCGCATTCAGTTTCCTATAGATATGTCGATTCCGTGGATTCTTACCGATTATATTCTCACCAGTCAAGATGCGACACTTACTGAGTTCGTTATTGTTATTCCTGTAGTATGGGCATTATTATTGGTGGTGTTTTCATGTTAAGATATACTTTTAAGGACAATGATACATTGACAAGGTGGATTAGTCGAAGTGTTTTTAGGTGTATATTTTATCAGTTGGATCTATATAATGATGCAGCCAATTATTCACTTAACAAATTTCGCAAACAATTTCTGTACGATGAAGTGGAAGCCGAAGTGAATTTATGTTTCGATCAGTTTGTTTTCAAACTGAGTGATTCAATATTCACTTACCACAAGCAACTTGCTTCTTGGTATGCTTTTATTGAACGTATATTTTCTGAAAGCATTGATATGCTATTCGTTGTTTTCACACCTGCATAATCTTTGAATCGAGTTTCACAAATATTCATCTCTCACATTAACACTTAAAAAAGCTTCTTCTAGAACACGGTTATTTACAAATTTCTTAAAGTGTGTTTTAAATAATGTTGTGATCAGTTTGGCTGAGTAAATGAATTCTATGTTTGTTTTCAGCATGTTGTTGGATAAGCGTTTCAAAACAAACTGTCAGTCAATGGGTATATCGATAAGGTTACCATTATGTGCGCGTTATGAAAGTCTTATACAACAACGACACGTTCAGGTTTACTTGTCAAAAATCTTCATATAAATTACTATTATTGGAAATCAGTTGGTTGACGTGAATTCACCAAACGACATGGGCGGAGGTTTTTTTTTGGGGGGGGAGGGGAGGGGAGAGGAGAGTATTATTCGATAAGGCATCGTGGAAAAACGGTCATAAAGCCTTGATGGCAGCATATGTAATAATTTTACGAGCCAGGGGAAGAGAGAAATTGTTACCTAACCGGTCTACCCTCATGAAATTTTTGTTGATAGCACCTTTACCATTTCCATTTGTTTTCTGTTTTTTTTCGAAGTAGTAATTTTTAAAAGTTGATTATTCTGGTTTTTTTTAATCAACTGCTGAGATCAATTCTAGCATTAATTTTCTGACGAATTGCTTTACGGCTCAGATGTTCTTTATTTATTCATGATTACCTCAACCATATCGATGTATCTAATAAGCAAAACTGCCTTATCGATGTCAAATCTGATTGGGTGGTCCGTGAACTGCATACTTATAAGTTTGCGACAATAGCTGACTAAGTGAAATTTAGCATTGATGTTAATTTTGTGAGTGCGTGAAATGTTCATATCAAAAGGTGATGCGTTGAAGTGATTTATATATATTTACACTAATCTCACGATCAGATAACTTATCCTCTCTTATCAGAATGTGCTCTAAAGAGCGATGAATATTCAGCTACTTGGCCGTTCAATTGATCTGAATCGTCTCGTTAGTCAGCGAATTAATATTGCCATTCTTCGCTCATTAGATGTTGCAATTTCGAAGTTCGAAGCTGATGATCTTGCCTCTATCGTTGTGAGTTACAATATTTTCTCCAAAAAATTTCTCGTCTAACTCTTCGATTCAACGGCTTTATCGATGCATTTTTTGCGTTTTAAAGTTTGTATCGCAAGTTTGATAGGTTTATTCTGTTTCGACATCTAAATTATTCGCTGATACCGTACCATCTTTCCAGTAACGTACATATCGTTCAATCGATTCCAAACAACTGATCCATTCATCTCGTCCAGCTGTAATTTTCCCGCGCACTGCCTTCAATTATATCAAATTGCATTTTCTTGAACAGCGCTGCAAATTTTAATTCATATCCGGAATGAAGCTTGCTTCGGGAATATTGGAATGATCAAAAAAGAAAAGCGGAAGAAACTTTCGAGAGGTAACGGATGATCTTTCATCCTGAACATTAACCCAAAGCTGACTTTGAGAAGTGGAACCGAAATTTTACGCTGTGGTTGTAAAAAATGTATTAAGCTCACTGAAGGTTGTGATCGCAGTGACAGTCGAATATAACAGTTGATCGAATTTACAGCGAGTTTGCCTGTTGAGCGAATGATAATTGCTTTAGGAATTGGTTGGTCTGCTGGATGCGAATCGTTTGTGTCATCGTTTATTGCGTGAACATCTGCATTCCATATCTGATTTTCTGGACCTCTTTCTCGAAGCCAATCATAACGTATCTGCACCTTACGGCCGTATAACGTTACATGTTTTTTGGGAACTCAATTACGACCTCATTCCTAATTATTGCTATAATGGATCCACTCATCGGTTTTTTCGTTTATTCTTTCAACTCTAACATGTTCATAATAGCTAAAACTTTTTTCTATTTGATTGAATAGCGATTGAATATTTTTTGTTTTCTATTTACTCTATTCTATTGTTCTTTTTTGTTATATTGTACAATAGTGCTGTTGCATCAGTTCTGCTCCAAATTCTATAAACGTTTAAATTCCCGTTTTCATCTTTGGAAAATTTTTAGAATTTAAATAAATGCAATTTCAGAATAGAAATGAATTTATGATCATTTTGGTTCGATTTCGGAAAATCCGATCGTTGCTTATAAGTTGGTGTAAAACAATGTGGACTAGATGGCTCAATTACTAATCAGTGTAAATGCAATTGAATCGGTTGAACGGTTTTCTTTTTGATAGGTTTGTGAAGTCAAAACATCCAATGCGCAAGCCGGCTGAACGTGATAAACCTCCTTCTGCATCAATCCAATACGTTTGGGGCTCGAAAGTATGTTTTTTTAGCTGCATTCAAATTGTTTATTCTCTGTTTACGCATTGAAATAAGATAAATGAGAATTGACAAATGCACGAAAAGATTATAAAACTTTGCTCGGCTCTTCACAGTCTCCATTAGAATGAAAACAATCGTTTTCAATTCTGTATGTGATTCAGCTTGTCGTTATAACTTTATTCACTTGAAGGTTCATTCATGTGTTTTTCAGTTCACTTTTGAATCATTGGCAATTTTTTCACATATATCATTGTCTCATATATTTCCTGAGATCTTAAGCACTCGGATACTTGTTTTCAGTCACTGAATGCGGCATTTAGTAATCTTCATTCGATGTATGGTGGTTTCATCGGAATGCCACATTTAAAGTCAGCTATTTTCAAATTTATCTGTTATTTGTTTTATCAAGAACAAGAGTTATCACGATGACGGATTTATCTTCATAAATTCGATCTTATGCTTGTTAAAATTTATGTATGGAGGTAACAAAAAGTAATGTTGTGGGCAATAATTTGAATCGTAGTCAAAACTATTCCTTCAGTCAAAACTATTTATTCATCTAACCCATCCCCTCCTTCCACTATCCCCCACATTTTTCAAATCTGAAATCGCGAGTCATTCATAAGCAGTAGAACGGTTCGCGATAAATCTTTTGGGTGAAATAAATTGCGAGAGAATTGATAATTTATGCAGCATAACATCTGGAATGAAGCAGAATAATGTATCTTCAATGTACAGTCGTTCTAGTGGTGAAGTTATCCCGTGCTTGAATTGTCACTTATTCTATGTTGCCAGGAGAATTTCAGTACTTGATGTTAATTGCTTGTTTCAGTGGCGCAGATTGATCGTTTGCAAAATATTTTTTCAGAGCCATAACGCGTCTTCTTGGTTATCAAGGAATTGCTGTTATTCTGGAAGAACTCATAAAAATAGCACGGAATCTGGTATTTTTTATGTGTACAGTGCATGTTGTTTTCCTGAGCCATTAGACTTCAGAAACTTTTAGCCGACTAATGAGAAATCGTATAGGGGTATTTCCATCCTTACATTGGAATTATTCAGTCCATTTAATTCAAATTTTCTGTCTCCCATTATTCCGTGCACTTTCCTAGCTAAAGTGGATTCAAGGCGTTTTATTGATTATTTTTAATCGCTAGGCATCCAAGATATTCGGATTTGGTCCTTTTGTTTTTCGTTTATAAATAGGGAAAGAGGATTTTGGCGTGTTGAGTGATTTCGTTTGAGATTAATGGCCCAATACGAAGACATGTTGGATCAATCTTCAATTTAATGCCAAAAGTTTGCAAATTGCCTCGATTCGATTATGGTTCTCCAGGTACGATTTGCAGAGTCGTTTATTTACTGATATTATGCCGTTAGAACGACGAAATGAGTTTGTTAGGATGATATATGTGAAATTTTTATGCAGATTACTTCAGAATCAGCTGCAGTTATCATCATTTTAACCTTTAAATGAATTTGAACGTGATTCATTTCTTACTGATACTGACTGCAAGATTTTATATTGCTATATTGAATTGTTAATTCATGCTAGTACTAATTATTTTCGCTATACATTTTGATGTGTTTTTATTTTTCAGCCGTATTGGAATATTATGTCGCACATTTAGGCAATGTTGGTCGTTATAAGGAACTGAAACGTGAGATGAGTCAGGTTCTAAACAAAAATTTTTCCTTGAATTTTTCATTTGCTTAATATACATTTTAAGATGTGCGTATTCGCGAGTGCTTTTATCCTTCTTTCTTTTGAAACTATCTCAATCTTTTTATTTCTCATCATTTTGTGTCGTTCAATTTTTGGGAAGTGCTATAGTTTGAAAAGCTTGAGGGAAAGTCCGCAATATGGAAGTCAACAATGAAATAATGTCGGGATAGGGAATTTTTGCTTTGTAAGGATTATTGTGTGCATCTTGCAAAATGTAGACCTCTAGAAAATGCAAGAATGTCTTCATATGTATACATCAAACAAGTTGGATATTTATGTCTTACTTTCATGCAAAGAGCCTCCATTCGAGTCAGTTTAAACCATGGAGTGGTAACTCGTTATATCAAATTCTCAGTTTGATTCCCTCGCCTGTAATTCCTCACATTCCGCAGTTATACTGTTATTTATTTATTTAAGTGAATATAATTCAAAAAAGAAATGCGAACATTTTGAAGGTGCTACGTGAATTAGGGAATATTATCGTGTTTTGTATGCAATTGGAATTGGCTTTGGGACAAGAAGAAGTGTTAGATTTGTTGACGGCGGCACCATTCACCAATACCATTCCACGACCACCGGCTAAAAGTACTTCAGCTCTCGAACTCTTTTATTTTGCCTATCTATATCTCACACTTGTTTTTCGATTCTATTAGTAATTTGAATATAACAAATTATTCGGTTAATAGTGCAACAATTTTTGTTTGCTCAAAATGTCGAAAGGAGAATATTTATGTGTCACTTCCAAATCTAACTCATTTTTGTCGACTGACTGTGCATTCGATTTTCAGTCGACACTTCTGAATGTAATGAATTATTTTCAAATGGACCTGGATAAATTAGCCAGTCATGTAGGTCGAATGTATTGCAGAAGTCGATGAGCAAGAAGTAAAAATGAAAAAACTGGAGCAAAAGTATGCACGAATTCAAATTGCTTCTGTAGTGGAACAACTTGGTGATGTGCAGGTACTGTTGAAAGTTGTAAATTTTGAGAAATCGTCGAATGACTGCGTGTACTTCCGTCATTCACTTCATTTTTTTAAATGTTCATCAGCTTGCTTCATGGTTGATTCATACGTTTGGCAGGTTTTTAGCACTAGATGGCTTCTCATTTGAGATCGAGTTTAGTTCTCTATGTTAGATTTGAACGTGTTATTGGGAAAATAAAGATCCTCTGTGACATCACTCATTGTTTATTGTGTTTACGTTCCTTATGAGTATGTTGCAATTCGTGGCTGATCGCCGTCGTTAGCTGAGTGCAAAACAAAGCTAGGTCATGCACATTTATTCCCAAGTTCTCATGTGAGTCTTCGAAGAGAAATAAGTCCTGAGATATTTCATTTTCGACGAATAGTTTGAATCTTTTAAGCAAACGGCGATAGCACGCGAAGGTGAACTACTTACCAAGGAGCGACTTTGTTGTGGTTTAAACATCTTCGAGATGTTATTGTGCAAACTAA